GATTACCCATGTCACCACTAGACCTTACCTATAAACGATTACCCATGTCACCACTAGACCTTACCTATAAATGATTACCCATGTCACCACTAGACCTTACCTATAAACGATTACCCATGTCACCACTAGACCTTACATATAAACGATTACCCATGTCACCACTAGACCTTCCTACACAGCTACACTGGTTGGCCTATAGCAGCAGATTACACATTAACTTACACTATCAGTAGAACTCTAACAGAGGTGGCAGGTTTGTTGATGTCACAGCAGAATTTATCTGGGCCATATTCCTGTCTGTAAACTACTGCAAGACGTTGCGGTGCTATTTTTGCTGTTGATTCAGAAAAAGAAAAAGGTTGTGATGAAAAAATACCTGCATACACTGATGATGTCATCAGTTTTTGTCTACAGTTTTCTGTGTCTAAAGTCATAAATACCGGTACATCTGTTGTTTATGAAGAAATGCATGCACATCTTTGTTTTGATTCATGTGTGTTAACTATGAATGTGAAAAGTGACTTGAAATGTCATTATCTTTCTTCTTTTTAAACATCTCATAGCTGGGGTTTATCTGAAGCATAATGGCACAATATTATAAAATTACCCAAGATGGTGGTGATACTGTTTTTTATCATCAGGGGGAAACACCATATATATGTCTTGTAGTTTAGTTTTGTAGAATATATCAAAAATGCAATCTGTTGCAATCTCTGATGTCATTCTCTGCTGGTTAGAGATACAGGTCCAAACATAATTATAGATACATATTGGAAAAAATAATCTTGAAAGTTTGGTTTATATTGAAACACTTTTTAAAAAAATGAATCAAACTTATCAGACAGCTGGGCTCGTATTCATGAAACTGTTCTCATGCTCAAGCAGGGATTTTGTACTTAAACCAAATTTCGTTTTCCCCGTTATAAATTAATAAAATAAAATAAAAATGTCAATGGTTTGGAAAATTATTGAAGAGACTTACAGCCGAATACTGTTTTCAATGTTTACATTTGACTTTTTGATCGTTTGACATGATTTAAGTGAGTTACAAGAAAGCTGGTTTGAGCACAGAATCCATGCTTGAGCATGAGACCGGTTTCATGTATATGGGCTGGACTAATAGTAGACAGTTTTACTTTGATACACAGGAAAGAGACAATACAAAGATATGACTGGTACTCTATCATACAGGGCTCTAGAAATACACAATAGTGAAACATCTGTTTTGGGCGATAGGTACATTGTAGTGACGTTGATATCAGACCTGTTTCCATGGTTACAGAGCATGAGAGTACTGGAATTGTAAAAATAAATATCATGCTTTTTATATCACAAATTGAAATTGTGCCACCATTTTTTACTTGTTTTTGTGGATCAGTACAGACTATTTTTGTTTAGTTTGGGGAATCCAAATGCTGACGTAGGATCTCATTCAAGTCTGTTCCTGAACAATTGCGAAATATTACGACACTGTCATGTAGAAGTAGTATGTGATGATCTGTTTATCAGACCAAGTTATCTACTATTGGTGCAGCAAATAAATGTCGTTCTGTTAAACAAATGACTATGCAAACATTCACCTTAATGAAATAACAAATGTGGAAATAAAGAATATATGTAATATATACCTTAATATTAATAATAATATGTGCAATAGACGTGATATCATTTTTAGTTATAATTAATTATGATGACTGTTATATATTAACTCATTCGCCCCTACATTTATAAACTGGACTTGCCCAGTCTTTGATTTGGTAAGGTTCAAATTTGACTTAAGGGATGAATGGGTTAAATACGTTTTGTATTGACACTAATAAGTGTTATAATGTTATTTGACTAACTGCTTATGCTGAGGCTTCTACACTGTATTTTGCTAAACATCATGTTGCTTATTGTTTATATATATTCCGTCTTCCCTATTCGCTATTGTTGATTTGTGAAGCTAAAGATTTCAGCAAGTCATTAAAAAAGTTAGAATGTTTGTGAATTCAATGTTAATTCACAATTTCTGATTCATATGAAATCATTATAAAAAAAATATCAATTTTCTATAATATGAATATTTAATGCAAAATTTTAATGAATTCAAGTTCATATTTCATATTACAGTTAATATACAATACATCATTAGAATTGATGTCATATAAAATTTCTTTTTATAATATTGAGTTTAAATTGAATTCCATCATTATTTTTGATGATGGAAAACAATATTTTTAAAATGCAATTAATATGCAATAAGTTTCCAAATGCATGCATTCTGTACCAGGTCTGTTTCTGTTTTGACCAAAACAAGTTGTTCATTTAATGAGTCAGCTCTCTAGTTCTGGAATGGTATGGTTCAAAGATAGAAAGGCACTTGACAGGCTCTAGAGAAAATAA